GTAACATGAGTATATTTTCATCGAAATATTTCAAGAATGGTCTGTTTGCTTTGTTACAGCTATCCTGAGTATTTTGGTTTTAGATTGAAGGTGTTTTTATCTTGTTTCAACCAAGATTCCTATCAGGTGACTAAAGTAACACTTTGTGTTGTTCACCTGACATTTATCATTTCCAAGTGAACTGTTTACACACAAGTGAATTTTTCAAATGCTTAAAGCTTACATTTTTCATTTATTCATTGTTTCATTCCTTCAAGGAGCATATTTCAAGCACTTACCAATACTAGGCAATATGCTAAGTACTCAGACAGACAGATAAGACACAGCTCTGTTTTTTGAGTAGTCCATAGTCTAGTAAGGGCATAGTTGCCCTTCAATTCAATACATGCTGTGGTGAAACTTGAGTTGTAGTAGAAGCCAACACTGGAGATCAAGGACACTTTCTTGACATTTTAAAGGATGACATTAATTAGCCAGATGAAATAGGAGGAGATGGACAAGATGTTATAACAAAAATGAGCAGGTTGTTACCAAAGGAATATGGCACTTTTGAGGTACTACAAGGAACTCAAGGCAACTGGAGTGTAAAATAAAATGGAACCAGTGGAGAGAGTTGAGCAGTAGGCCTAGAAGCCATCATGAAGGCCCTCATAGGCCATGTTTGTGTATTTTCAGGGCACTCTTAGAGGGTTTTTAGGCGTGAGAGCAATCACTTTGACAGCATTATAGACAATGGATTAAAGTAGCTGGGCAACTATGTGAGAAATCCACTTAATCTAATCTGGAAATGAGGACAGTGGTCACAGAGCTGGAGTGGAATGTATGAATTGGAGAGCTATAAAGGAAGTGAATCAACAGACTTTATCAACAGATGGGTATGACGTTAAAAGAGATTAGGTGTTGATTGAAGTGATGAGTAAAACATAAACCTTTACCTACACAGACCTGACAATACAGGCATGTACAAAAAAATGATAATATAATTAAGCCACAATTTATGTCCTTACTGAGCAGAAGTTTGTGTGTCTACTTGCCAAGTGTCTTGGAAGCATTACTGTAGATTAACAATCCAATAAGTGATCATTGGCAAAGGAATAGTACACGTGAGGATTAAATACTAAATAGCTCCAGTGTATCACACTCTTGAATTCTCAAAAAGAGAACCAAATAAATTGGAAAGAAACCAATACTAGACGTTTGGAAATTTTTCAAATAAAGTATGTTTTCCTCTGGCTCAATCCTTACAGCTATTGTACAACAGCCCAACTTTAGCTGTCATGCCAATGCCTCTAAAAACTTCCATTTCCTGGCAGAGCTTAACTGGCAGTGTTTGTTATCTCTGGTCGAAATCACAGTGATACAATACATTTACACGGTGCATTAGTCTCACCGGCTCCTCCCACTGTGCAAAGGGCTCCATAAGTGAACATTTAACACTTGGAAAGGCAACAAATATTTTTGCTTATTATGTGTCACTGTAACATAGTTGAAGTTATTTTCCATATTAACAAATGATGCATGTGCCTTTAAAAATATCTAATGGACCATAACCTAGGACATAACAGTCTCTTATTGAATCTAGCCAATATTCTTATGAAATAGCTCAGTATTTCCATAAAGCCACTGGCAAGTGATAGCAGCCCATTTTTGCAGTTAAGAAAAGTGAAATAGTGACTTAGATGTATCATCTAAAGCCTCCTTGTCCAATAATATTTTTCTTATATATGCTGTTTCCAAAATAATATGGCTCAGAATAAAACAAGCATATTCACATGTCAGATAACAAGTTTATGTAATCCCTTAGTTACAGATGCAGTTGCAAAAGGAGGTGGAAGGCATCCAAAACACAATATTATAATTTTTTTTTTTTTTTTTTTTTTTTTTTTTTTTTTTTTTTTTTTGAGACGAAGTCTTGCTGTGTCGCCCAGGCTGGAGTGCAGTGGTGGGATCTCAGCTCACTGCAAGCTCCGCCTCCCGGGTTCACGCCATTCTCCTGCCTCAGCCTCCCGAGTAGCTGGGACTACAGGCACCCGCCACCTCGCCTGGCTAGTTTTTTTTTTATTTTTTTAGTGGAGACGGGGTTTCACCGTGTTAGCCAGGATGGTCTTGATCTGCTGACCTCGTGATCCTCCCATCTCGGCCTCCCAAAGTGCTGGGATTACAGGCTTGAGCCACCGCGCCCGGCCTAATATTATAATTTTTATAAAATGAGATAAAGGACTGGGAAACAGTCCAAGATGTGTCTAGACAATAATAGCCTCCCCTAATTGCAGTGATAGTATTCATTAGATTTATTAATATCCACTGAAATACAAAATGAAATAAGAAACACAGTTCATACCTTGGCTTAATAAGTGGCAGAAAAACAGTATTTGTCTGCATTTGTTCTGTTAATAGCTTTATACTGGTAGTAACCAGAAGAAACTCCTAGATAGGCTGTACAAGTGGTTTTCTAGCTTCTTTTAAAAAGGAACTACTGGGTAGATACCTAAGATATATTAAATTTATTAAATAATTAATATCAGAAATTCAAGTATAAATCATTTTTAACGTTAAGACCAACTCCTGTTCATTACAAGGGCCTGACCAACTGTCTTAGTAGAAAGTACTATAGATTCAGTAGCTTATAAACAACATAAATTTATTTCTCACAGTTCTGGTGACTGGGAAGTCTGAGATCAAGGCCCCAGTGAATTAGGCCTCTGGTGAGGGCGTGTTTCCTGATTTATAGATGGTACCATCTTGCTATGTCCTCACCTAATGGAAAGGGAAAGGCAGCTCTCTAGGGCCTCTTTTTATTAGGCCATGGATCCCATTAATGAGGGCCCCACCCTCATGACCTAATCACTCCCCAGCCACGCCTCCCAATACCATCACATTGGTAATTAGGTTTCAACATATGAATTTTATGGAGAGACAAGCATTCGGACCATAACAACAACATTCCTAAAACTACCATTGTAGGCCAGGGGCAGTGGCTCACACCTGTAATCGTAGCACTTTGGGAGCCTGAGGTGAGAGAATTGCTTGAGGCCAGGAGTTCAAGACCTGCCTGGGCAACATAGTGAGACCTCATCTCTACAAAAAATTTAAAAATTGACGGGTGGTAGAGCAAGACATTGTCAAAAAAAAAAAAAAAAAAAAAAACACCATTGCAGGCTAGTCAGCCATTATTAGGTTGTGGAATCTACTGTGCGTTTTATGTACCAGAAATCCAGGGTCTTAAACTTTTTTGCTGAGTTCTGAAGATAACACCACCGTGCATCATATTTTTCAAGTAGCCTGTAGGAAATGCCTTATAGAACCCAAACTGAAAACTAATATATAACTCTTTATGTTGTGAAGGTGGTCCTAATGAAATCTAACGATCCCCAAAAGTATCTTCCATGCCTGACTCATACCTTTAGCAAGTGACATCACATTAAATTTGTCAAAATCAATCTTTAATACCTTATTTAGAATTATGCAGCTATAGAAGGAACATGGAAGAAATTACAGAGCTGTGCTGCCCAATATGGCTAGCTACTAGCTACATGGGGCTGTTTAAATTTAATTGAACTTAAATTGAAAATATAAGTCCTCACTTAAACTAGCCACATTTAAAGTTCACAATAGCCACATTTAAGTAGTGGCTACCATGTTGACAACACAGATGTAGAACTATGTAGAACATTTGACAATACTGTCTAGAAAGTACTGATACAAAAAGCATTTTAGTTGATAATGGCTTATATATTTATATAAAAATGCCTATATGATGACTTCTCAAGAGAAAAGATTGTTTATAACTAGATCCTATAATTTTATTTCATTGTGCCAGGAAAGTAGCTTTTAAATTTATAAATTCTGCTTTTTCCCTTAAACTCCTACCCTAAAAGACTTCCAAATATAGAACTTCTGAAGGCTGCATATGATATAGAGCTACTTCAGGATTCCCAGAGTTTGGAAAGATGATTTCTGAAAGCACTATATGAGATAAAATTTTCAAGTATGACAACTTTTTCTGACCCATCTTGTGCTGCTCTTCTACATATTTTGCTCATTAGTACCTTCTTCACAATGTATTGTTTTATGTATGTTTATTTATTTATTTATTTATTCATTCATTTATTTATTTATTTTACTTCTAAGGATGTGAATCTGCTGACATATGACTTGTAGCTCCTTGGTAGGCAAAGGTCAATATGTACTAATTCTTGTGTGCCATTATCTTGAGGAGCAGGATGCTTACATAGACTAAATTGTCTTCCTATATATTGCTTCTTTAGTTACAGAGGTTAAAACTGTAAGTATAAAATGAAAAAACCAGTGAGGGACAGAGAAACTTTGGATGTGATGGGCCTCTGGATGCCCTGAGAAGCATTTAATATCACTTATATTCATATGTAAGTGGATGTATGACCTGACTTTAATCATGAGGAAACATCCGACAAAAACAAAGTGAAGAGCATTCTATCTGAAAGTGGCCTGTGTTCTTTAAAATGTCAATGTCATGAAAGATGGGGAGAAGAGGGCTGTGATAATGGTGGGAAATTAGTCCAGATTAAAAGAAATTAAAGAGACATGATAACTAAATGCACTATGTGATCTAGCACTGTATCCTGGACTGGCAGTGGAAAAAATGCTAAAAAGACATGATTGGGACAGTTCCAAAAATTGGCATATGGATGGTAAATTAGATTTATAGTATTGTATTCATATTAAGTTTCCTAAGTTTAGTGACTATACTATGGTTATGTTAGATAATATTTTGTTTTTGGGAAGTACATTCCCAGAAATGTGTTAAAGAGTAGAGGGGCATGATACCTGCACCTTATTCTCAAATGAGTCAAGAAAATAATAGTGTGTGTGAAGAGAGAATATGATAACAAATGTAGCACAATGTTAACAGTGGATTTGAGTAAAGACTATACAGGAGTTCTCTATTTAAGTCTTGTAACTTTTCTATACATTTGAAATTATTTTGAAATAAAAATAAAACTCTATTCGGTATTTTCTAGCCCTTTCTAAGGCACAAAATGATGTGATGGAAATGAAGATGCAGTCAGAGAGACTTTCGAAAGAATATGATCAACTCCTGAAAGAACACTCTGAACTTCAGGTGGGTGTGACATGCACTTTATGCGCCTAAATGTTTTGAAATAGTAATTACCTAAGTAAATTATTTGGGTTATTTGTCCCTAACTAATCAAGATGATGTACTTAATCCTGACTTTGTTAAATGATTTAAATAAGCCAGATTTTTACCTAGAGGGTAAAGGTTAGTACATTGCAGGAAGATACAAGATAATTATAAGGAATTGCTGACGTGCATATTTACAGCATTCCAGTTTTGGTGAACTTTTAAGCAAAAGAGTTAAGCCACAAAAATGGCAGCACTGGAAAACAGACGGGTTCTAGAAAAGATGAGTTTTGCTGTTTGGGATGTTTGCCATATTCATGCCAAAATGAGGCCAGAATTTCAAGTTCCACATCACACTACTCTTGTCTCAGTGTTTTAGACATATCAGGCCAAAGACTTTAGCATTCAAATTTATTATTTACCTCCAAATGTTGATTTGAAAGATGGAAATGGGGAAAAAAATGTTTCATTGTTAAAGCCACAAAGTCAGATCTGGGCCATAGGTTTTCTTTCTCTTTCTCTCTAATCCAAGAAAAGAAACGTTCATCCCTGTTAGGCTTGTCTTTCCTCCCTCCCTTCTGCTACCAGCCGGTAACCTGAGTTGATTTCCCAGCCACACTTTGATCAATTGGGAAAGAGACCATTCCAGAGGCAGCTCTGGCCTTCCTTCCCAGTTTCTCCCAAGATAGACTGGTTGGACTTGTCTTCAAAATTTGGCAGCCTTTGTGGCTTTCAGTCAGGGCTTTTTACAAATGATAGCTTTTTATTTCACTGTACACATTTCCCTGCATCTTAATGGTCATGGTATCTCCAAGGCTCAGCACTGTTCCTGGCACAAGGCAAGCAGGCACTATACTCATGGACTTTGGAGTCAGACATACCTGGAATACCTACCTATACCTGGCCGCATGCTAGGTTTTTAATCTTAGGCAGGTTATAGCATCCCTTTGGGGCTCACTTCTTTCATCTATAAAATTGGAACAATAATGATGCCTGGGTCACTGGATTGTTAAGAGAACTAAATAAAATGTGTAGGTTTTTTAGCACTATGCCTTCCTGACAGTAAACACTCAAGAAATGATAGCTATTATCATCATCATCTGTATTACTTCATCTGTAGGAATTTTGCTGAAAGAATGACTTATTCTCAACCAACCACTTTGGCCTTGGTTTAGAGCCAGTCATGAAGTAATCTAAAGGACATGTTTGTAAACTGATAGTTCCACTTGGTTTGCATGTTTGTTTTAACTAGCCTACTTTGACAATAGCAGAAGACAAAGTAGCCAGAGAAGGGTGAATACCCTGTATGTTCCAATCCCAGGAACACTAAGGGCTCAGTTCACATGGCCTGGAGCAGATAGGTAGATTGTCAGCAAGACCACCCCTTCCCCAGCTCGAAAATAGAGATCCTGAAATTGCTGACCTATTCAGGGCATGATAATTATTCCATGGTATCTTTCAAGATCCACATTGGAAAGTAAAGAAGTCACTTCAGAGACCTCTTGCCTAGAAATACAAAATTTTCCCCCTATTTGTGAGATTAAGGTTTACTCGACCAGGTTAAGTATCGACATTAGTGGTCTTTGCTGCGATGTCAGACATACTTAGATCCTTGAATGGAGAAAGGAAAACCAGAAGTAATCCCTCAATTTCTTATGGCCAGTATCCATTGTTGAATGTCTCCATTGTGATAACAGCCATTGGTTCTCTTAATTCTGAAGAATATATGTAACAGTGAGATTTCCTCAACCCATATCCTCCCAACAAAAAAGCCACAGTCAGTCTGGAGCTGCTGCATTCTTGGTAAAGGATGTAGAAAGCTTTTAAGAGTGATTCCTGACTGGGCATGGTGGCTCATATCTTTCTTTAATCCCAGCACTTTGGAAGACCGAGGCAGATCACGAGGTCAGATCAAAACCATCCAGGCTAACACACTAAAACCCTGTCTCTACTAAAAATACGAAAAATTAGCCAGGCGTGGTGGCAAGTGCCTGTAATCCCAGCTACTCGGGAGGCTGAGACAGGAGAATCACTTGAACCTGGGAGGTAGAGGTTGTAGTGAGCCGAGATCGTACCACTGCACTCCAGCCTGGGTGACAGAGCGAGACTCCATCTCAAAAAAAAGAGTGATTCCTTCCCAAGAAAATAGTTGTTATACCTGTTTCTGTGGAAAAGACCTCGTCCCAGATTATGCCAGACACCATGCCGACAGTAGGGCCTTGTTTGATAGCACATTTAGGACTTGATCTAATTTCTGCTTGTATCCAGTTTTTGAAATATTTAATAGATGACGTTTGTTGAGAGTATACTCTGGACTAAGCACTTGGTTAAGGGCTTCATATATGTTGTTTTGTTTACTCTCCGTGACAGCTCAGTAATTGAAACTATTTTAATATCCCTATTTTGTGAATGAGGAAACTGAGACCCAGAGATGTTATATAATTTACCCAAAGTTACTAGGAAGTGATAGCATTCAAAGTCAGAGAATCTTTCTCCAGAACCTCCGTCATTAACCACTATGTTCTTTGACCTTTGCTGGTCATTGGATTGTGTTCTTAGATCCATTCTCCTCTCATCACTGCTTTACTCTGTATCTCTGGGAGGTCTGTTTCCAAAGCTTCCTTGCTGTCTGACTCAGTCTGGGCAGGTTTAGCCAGTGACAGGCACTAGAAGATTGAAGGCAGGAGGAAGGGGAAAGCCAGGGATTTCTCTGCTGTAGGGGCCTTCTCCTTTTTGGCTCCAGTTCCTTCCCTCCATGGGCTCAGGTCCCACTGGGCAGCTTCTACTTACTGGCCTTCACACCTGGGCTTCATAACCCTCATCCCTCCAGCCCAAGAAGTGGTGGTGGCTTTTATACTATTGATAATCCCAGAGGTGCCTTACCACCCTGTTTGATGTGTATACTTTTTCATCACCTATAAAACCAATTTCCCATAATATCTCTGTTTGAAGGAAAACAAAATCTCAGCTCCATAGTATACCACTTCTGTAACCCACAGGTGATTCATTTGACATCTATGCTCCTCAGGTACTTTAATACTTAAATAAGGTTATAATACCTTATGAAAATTAAAGCAGATCCTGTATAAGAAAGCACTTTATATATTTCTAATCAAGAATACTATTTATTATGTCCTGATTGGTTACATTTTTTTTTCCTTCACCTACCCACCCCCCACCATTGTCCAATATGAGACCCTATATAAGTTTCTCAGATTTAGATATCATCGAGTGCCCTGTTTATTTGGTCTGTTCTGGTTTTTTTGTTCGTTTGTTTTGTTTTGTTTCGTTTTGTTTTTTGAGACAGTGTTTCACTCTGTCACCCAGGCTGGAGTTCAGTGGCACAATCTCAGTTCACTGCAACCTCCGCCTCACCAATTCAAGCGATTCTTGTGCCTCAACCTTCTGAGTCACTGGTACTACAAGCGCATGCCACCACGTGCAGCTAAGTTTGGTATTTTTAGTAGAGACAGGGTTTCGCCATGTTGGCCAGACTGGTCTCGAACTCCTGACCTCAAGCAATCCGCCCACCGGAGCCTTCCAAAGTGCTGGGATCATGGGCGCAAGCCCCCATGCCCAGCCGAGAACCGTTTTCTTTAACTCTTGAGTGTCAGTGTTCACCATCTGAGCCCTGCTTGAGAAGCAAAAGATAGTTACAGACCCTCTATGGTAAAAAGCTCTATCAAATTGTCCTCATGAATTTTACTTCTGTTGTCAAACTAATCTTAGATATTGAATTATATCCTAAGGTTCTTTGGAACTAACTTTCTGAGTTTTACATAGTTGACATACTTTCAGTGGAACAATCATAAAACAAAGGATTATTAAAATATTAAGGAAACAAAGGTTAAAGAGGGAAATGCTGATTTCTTTACTGTAAACAGATCCCAATTTGCATATTTTACATCCTTTTGGATTTCCCCATCTGATCTCCTCCCTGTTATAGGCACTAAATAAATATTAGAAAACCGTCCCTTCAAAACATGTAGTCTTTACCTTTCCTTATTTGCCCTGCCTCTCTTCTAAAAAAAGAAAAACAGAACTAACTGGAGATTTTTGGCTGCACAAAAGCATCAGCACCTGCCAGTTTTTCAATTTCATTTTGGAAAATCAGCCATCACTTAAGGGACTTGTCCGTAATAGCTTCATTAAAGCTTTGATTTTTATCAAAAGGGGCCACACCTGTAAACCTGTGAAAGTAGTATGTTTACCTCCTGTACTGTTGTCGTCTTATTTGATTGCAAAAGTTAATGTTACTAAAGTTGCTATGGAAGCATTAATGTTCAGCCTGAACAAGAACTTGACGAACTTCTTTATACAAGCAATAACACTCTGCAACTCCATTTTATGGAATCTTTTTCTTGACGTAGACATTTACTTTCTTAGCACAAGTGATCTCTTAAGATTAATCTCTATTCCATTTTCCTTCAGTTTTAAATGATGTATTATAGTCATCTTTATAACATGATCAGCCGAGTATAATTTGAGAAGTCAGTTCTGTTGGCAAATATCTGAAGGATAAAATCAAAGCTACCCTAGCTGGGATTTTTGTCCCTTCCTTCTTTTCGTTTGCCAAAAAGCTTAATTGGGTTAACAGTAGGGGAATTTTAGAAATCATGTTTTCCTGGTGTAACCTGTGAAACAAAAGCAAAATAGATTAAGGCAAGGGGAAAAATGAACTTACCAAGAGCGTTCTTTTTCCTAAGTAAAAACCACAAATTTTATAGTTTTTAAAATTTTAGACTTCTCAATCCTTTTTTTCACATTTAATTATTCTCATAAGTATACATAGAAGAGAGAATGTTTTTTAAAAGTCCTTGTCATGTCTATGAATTGTTTCTCTTTGCTGTACTACATAAATCATATTTTTTTCCTTACAGGATCGTTTAGAAAGAGGCAACAAGAAAAGACTGTGAACTTTATAAAAGACGCTTGCAATATACTGTGTCAAAATGATAATTTTGTTATGTTAGCCTCTAGGAAATTTAAGTTCAGAAAAATGCACTATGACCAGTTCGTAATTTTTTTTAATGTCACACATAGGTTATATTGTAATGGCATTATCAAAATAGTTGATGATGTTTCAGATATATTATGAAGTCTGTATTCCAGCTCTTAAGAAAAATACAAGCATGTTAAATACCGTATTTACATATTGATAATGTCACTGATATATGGTGGCTGTTTACCAATAAAAGGAAAAATTCCTTGGCCGGTTACTTCCAAAATTAGAAGTTTTAAGTTGCACGAAACCATTAATAGCCTTGAAAGCTTTGATGAGTTTTCAGTAATGATCACCTATTTAATCAGATGATGATGTGTTTGAAAATAGTGTTCAATATCAGCAAATTTGTACACAGGGAATGTAAATAAGGATAACTGATCAGAGTTATCCACCGTATTTATAAGGAAGAGTCAGAAAAAACAATGACCTTAGTTTTTTTTAAGCCTGATGATACTATGGTTTACTCTAATAAGATAGCTATATTGATAATTATATTTTTGTTATTATGCCCCTGCACATTTTGGTCTGTTTTTTATTGATATTTTTGTTAATAACACATAATTAGTAACCACTCTACTGTTTCAAGTTAATCTAGTAATAGAGTTTACACATATTTGTATAACTGCTATACCACTGAACTGCATTTATTTTACAACAGTGTAGAATTCTTGACAAGTTAACGTAGAACATATCCAGAAAGCAGTATTTGTTTCCGTTGGTTGTGAGAGTAACTAGCTATATAAATATTACCTCAAAAATACATACACTGGTATCACACAGTCTTTCAACAGTGTTTCTATATTCTGAAAGTTAAATATTAAATGCTATTTTTCCATTCAAATATTCATTTAGAATTTCCTTTAGAATATGGCAGTGATTATATTAATATGATTTCAGTTGTTCCAGTGTTTAGACATGAAATCATCTTCCTTGTCTCATAAAAACCTAAATATTTTTTAAAAATGAAAATAATTACTGGAGTTTTTATTTCTCTTGTCTTTGTTTCGTCCTCTGTTTATTATAATTTTAGTACCAACTTCACACCTAGCTAATTTTTTTCATCATAAAGTGGATGAAATGAGCAAGTACATAAAAATTTTATTTCAGATAAAAGTCAGGAGTTACTGCTAAAAAACAGACATGTAGGAGACATTCAACAGGAGTAAGAAATGGGAGTTAGACCATATGGGCTGACAACACCATAAATAACAAGAAAAGGGAGTGCTGAAATAGGAGAGAACTGAACAAATGTTAGCTCAAAGTATAGACTTAGAAATATCAAAGTAAGAGCTATCTGGGTAAATATATAGATATTGAGTGCTTGGAATCCTAGCCTACTATGTGAAAATTAAGTCTAATATCAGAATAACATACAGAAAAGTAGAAAATGCACAGTTTTAAAATGGGCAGAGTTAAAATCTAATCCCAGCTTTATCACTTATTTAGCCATGCTAGCCTAGGCCTCTATTTCCTTGTCTCCAAAATGGGAATAATAAAATTTAGATCAGGATTACTATATAAACAAAGATAATACAGTGATTCTCAAAGTTGTTCAGACTGTATAGTAAGGAGAAAGTCTGGGTGCACTTTGAAAAGCTTGAAGATTTGAAAGATTCCAAAAAAGCATTTTAAAGTTTACATTTAAGGGACCTAGGAGCTCAACCCTCTCAGGTTTACAGGTCTGAAACTTTAGACCTCAAAAGTTTGAGCAGTTTTTCCAAGGCAACATTGATAGTTAGATTCAGGGCCAGGATGTAAGTCTAGAATTTAGGTATCCTGATCCCCCAGATACCGCTCTTCTGTTTATACGCAGACCAGCTATAATTTGCTAAACAAAATATTGCAATGTATTAGTCAGTTGTGGCTCCAGAGCCTGTGCCCTTTACCACTGTACCCAACTGTTTCACATGCTATGTTTGTTAGTTTTTCCTAGTACTCTCCTTAATAATGGTGGTGTTTAGAAAATTGTATTATATAAGTAAATATTTATTTCATGGATTTAATTATGTTGCATGTTAAATTACTTTCCTTCCCATTGTCAATAATGACTTATTTATGTTGTATGTCTTAGGCTGTATTATAAATTCAAACACAGGAATGTTATTCTTGCCTTTTTCCATCAGAATTACATAAAGTATTATTAGACTTTCCTCCTACTTGCAAATCTGCCTGGAGGTACTGGTCTTTAGGAAGTAGCACTTAGCAAGTTCTGGATAAGCACTCCAGAACTTGGGATGAGTTATCCTTGTTGTTTGTCCAGCTCTATCTTGGACCCTAGTGCTGCTAATTAGATTCATGCCTTGTTCTTTAGGGCCTAAGTTCCTCTCTTGGCTATTTATCCTAGTATGCTGAGAACTAGGATTCCCTTTCAGTGACAGAGTCCTGACCTGGAACCCCAATCAAGAGCCTAAAGTTTAACCACTTTCTGAGATATTAGCCTGATGCCAGCAGCCTGCCTGGATCTCTAAATATTACCCATTCTTGGAGTTATTCGTGATCTCTGCTTTCCTGCATGTCACTCCTGCTTCATCATTGGACCTGCTAGCCACAGCTACTTAGATGTACCTGAACCTGTTGTCTTGCCCTACCTCTGTGGGCTGGTTCAGTTCTGCATTCCCATTCCAGTGTCCACTGCCTTCTCGCTGTCCCTCCTATCTTAATGCCCAGCCCTACTAACATGACAGACCATTGTGCATTTGAGTGCCCACTATACAATGTGTGACTATAACCGTGCTTTTAAGCATTGACTTTAATGTCTAGGATGATCTGTCTAAAGTCCATGGAACCCTCCTGTGTTTTTTCATCCCTTTCTTAGTAATCTTGAAAATCCACTTATAAAATTCTTTTCCTTTTTTTTAACATTACTGAATGGCATTTTTAAAATTACTTTCACAGTGTTTCTTTCCACTTTGATCGCTACACAAACATGACCTTATTAGTTGCACCAGAAATGATTTAAAACACTTTAGGAACTGTGGTAGGCTTAATTATGACCTCCCAAAAGATATCCCTATACCAATCCCTGGAACCTGGAAATGTTCTCTTCTATAGCAAAAGGTGTGATTAAGTTAAAGTCTTGAGATGGAGAGATTATCCTGGATAATCTGGGTGTGCCCTAAATGCAGCTACATCTATGCTTAGATAGAAGCAAAGGGAGATATTACCACATAGCAGAGGAGAAAGCACAGTGACCACAGAGGCAGAGATTGGAATGATGGAGCTGCAGCGAAGGAATGCTTACAGTCACCAGAAGCCGGAGGAGGCATGGAACAGATTCTTCCCCAGAGTCTCTAGATACCCATAAAACTGATATGGGACTTCCTGGCCTCCAGAACTACGGGAATAAATTTATTGTTTCAAGCCATCAAGTTTGTGATTGTTTGTTACTGCTGCCATAGTAAATTAATACAGGAGCATACAGGACAGATCTGTAAGGCCTGAACTGAATTTCAAGGGGTGTGGAAAACAATTACCCTTTAACACCACTCCGTCTTCCCCATTAGTCATTTGGATAAGTCAAAGATAGCCTTAACCATCTCCTATCTTATTTACTTTTCTCCTTCAATAGTATTTCTCCATTGCCATTGCCATTGCCACTGCCTAATTGCAAGCCATCATCCTCTCTCACATGGACTATGACAACCTCCTCATCTCCCTGTATCTTCTCTAATGCTTCTCTCATATACATGCCCTCAGCGGCCACCTGCTTTAAAAGAAAAAAAAAAAAAAAAAAAAACACTGATCATGTCATTCCCTGCTTGTCTTCCAATTCTTTCCCACTGCAGTAAAGATCAAACCACCAAGATCAAACACCAAGACCTCACCAGGCTCCCATCTACTCTCCAGCCTCAACTCAGTCCACCTGCTCTGCCAGTCACACCCGTATTCTGTTTGTTGTTGTTCTTTCCCTAGGATACAGATCCTGACATGTCTGCATTCTGATTCTTCTTGCAACAAGCCAAATTCTTTCCCTGTCAGGACGTTTGCATGTAGTAAATGTTGCATCCCAGTCCTGTCTGCCTTCTTATCCTGTTTTATTTTCATCATGGCACTTATTGCCATGTGAAATGATCTCATTTATGGTTTGTCTCTTCAGTGATTAACACAGTTTCTGCAGACAGTAAATCAGTGGTTCTCAACAGGAAGTGGAGAGGTCATCCTGAGGGGAACATTTAGCAATACCTAGAGACATTTCTGGTTGTCGTAACCTAGTGGATAGAAGCCAGGGATGCTGTTAAAGCATTCCACAATGCACCGGACTGGAACAAAGAATGATCTAACCCAGAATGTCAGTGTTGCCAAGGTGGAGACATTCTGCAATAGATGCTTGTGGCAGAGGGTACTGGTTGTCCCCCAATATCCATTCTTTCATTCACATGTGTTAATACATGCTCCAGCTTTTGTTGTTTTATAAACAGCTGCCAAACATAAAGACAACATTTTCCATCTCCTTGTATGTAAGTGGAAATAGGTAGGACTGTCATGTGGGGCCAGTTTCTTTTTCTCTTCCTCTGACCTGCTGCTTGAAACATGGATGCTGCTATCTTAGATCATGAAGTTGAGGCCATGCAAAGTGGAGCAACAAGAAGGAGGCTGTGTCCCTGACGCCATAAGCACCACACCTGTCCTGAATTGCTGTGAATGACACCAGATAACTGCAATACATTGTCTCAACGTCCTAGACATACATAAAAAGCCATAAATGTTTGTCCTATGCAGCACAAAACCTTTGTATCTTTGCCTTTTATGTTGGGATCTTAATTAAAAATTATATCCTCTACTGTCTGGATGCTCAACTTTTTATATTTGACTTAACCATTATTAATCAGCATCACGCATTGCACCTTCACAATAACTGCATTTCACATCATAAAAGTTTACAAATCTCCCTCTTTGTCTTTAGTATGGTGTACAACACAACAACAACAATGTCCTCAAGGACATTCAGGCACATTATATATACAAAGATAGCACATAACAGCTTGATGTGTAAACAAGTTAGGAAAAAGTTTCCAACTTCTTGGTGATCAGCTCTTTTCCTAAATTTGAGCAAAAAAAATGTGTTTGAAGTGTTGGCTTTGCCCCCTAAACCAGGTGTCTTCCTCGTTAGCAAGGCTTCTCTGAAGTCTGTTTCCTTCAGAAATCGTTGTTCTCCCTGAAGCACCACCCATGGTAAAGAATTTCGGTCTTTCCCAAGGGCTATCAATTTCCTGGAGCACCAAAGATTTCTAGAGCACCAAAGACTCCTAGAGCACCACTTCTCAGCCAAGGGCTTCCTGGAATAACCCTCCATAGAGGTTTACTTGCTGAAACTTTCTTTGTTATTTTTTTTTCCCCCTTGAAAAAAAATTAATACATAGTAAATGTGGAAATGAAAGAAAAAAATAGCTGTTTGTCTAATTTTCATATATATACACACACGAATATTTACAAAAATAAGATCACACCTGTTTTTATGCATACTTTTTTTGTGACCTGCTTTCTGTCCCCCTACATCAATAAATATCCTTCTGCAACAGAATTCTACAACCAACTTCTCATAGGTCACATACACATCACCTACGGGGGTGGGTTTGTTCAAAGTGCAGGGATTCATATGCCCTGTTTACCACTACCACCAGTGAGAATTCCTGCCCCAGGCAACCAGTGTTAGTAATGAGGCTGCCATAACCATCCAGTATGAGACAGCAGAAAAGGTGGATGAGACCCATCATCCTATGACAAGATACTTACCTTATCCCCTGTTGGTGACATTTCATGAGAATCTTTATTGGCAGAAAATGCTCTGGAATCAATAGAACATAGTGGTTACATACGTACATTACCTGTGTTAAAATCTCATCTGCTTTATTTATTACCCATTCTGCATCTCAGTTTTTTCATCTTTAAGGTGATTTAGACTCTACCTCAAAGTCTTGCTGACAGGATTAAACGAGTTGATACACGTGAAGAACTTTTAACAGTTTCTCATGGTAAGCTATTCTGAACATTATACAAAGACTGATGCCCAGTCATAAATTTCCTCATCTAAAAACAAAAATCTGATGGAATTTTAAAATGTATTAAAAGTAAAAAGTGTACTGGAGATGGATGGTGGTGATGGTTACACAACGATATGAATGTAGTTAATACCACCGAACTATACATTTAAAAGTGATTGGTTAGCACAACCTCTTTTGTATTAACTACTTGTATTAACCACTTTTAAGTGTATAGTTAGGTGGTATTAACTACATATTATAGTATTAACCATATTAACCACTTGTAAGTGCATTTTACATCATTAAAAACATTGGGAAACAAAAGATGGACCACCTAGTTCTCTGGAATGAAAATGCACAGTGTTGAAACTGGTGGATAGTTAAGGTTGCCTTTTTTTTTTTTTTTTTTTCTTGAGACAGAGTTTTGCTCTTGCTGCCCAGGCTAGAGTACAATGGCACAATCTCGGCTCACTGCAACCTCCATCTCCCGGGTTCAAGCAATTCTTCTGCCTCAGCCTCCCAAGTAGCTGGGATTACAGGCACCCACCACCACGCGTGGCTAATTTTTGTATTTTTAGTAGACACCGAGTTTTACTATGTTGGCTAGGCTGGTCTCAAACTCCTGACCTCAGGTGACCCACCCGCCTCACCCTCTCAAAGTGCTGGGATTACAGGCACCTGGCCTGAGGATACCTATTCTTAACAACTGTAATCAGTCATTCCCCTGCCACCCCTCTTCTCCCACCTCAGAGAAAGCACAGAGCCCCATTTGCTCAGGTATGCAACTAATGTTTGCTTATCTGAATTGAATTCAGTTCAGTTCTAGTGTGTCAAATTTTTTTCAGATGACTCTTGCTATTCCCCGTCTTTAGAGTGTGTCCTGTTGTCTTAAGATTGTGATAGGATCAGACACAATTTTGACAAACATTCTTAAAATACATCCAGACACGGATGTATTTCACTTCAAATCCCATTGGCAGATTTGATATTATAAAAGGGCCTGGGTTTGGGGTGTTTTGTTAGTCACTTGAACCTTAACTGCAACTTTTTTTTTCCTTTCTCAATGATTAAAATAATTATATATGTATATATGCATGTATATTATGATTTTTACGTTTTTGTTTTTTTTTTTTTTTTTGAAATGGGATCTCGTTCTGTTGCCTGTAGAGATTGGGGAGTCTCACTTTGTTGCCCAGGCTAGCCTCGAACTCCTGGGCTCAAGTGATCCTCCCACCTCAGCCTCCCAAAGTGCTGGAGTTACAATGTGAGCCACCAGACTGGCCTACATCTATTTAAAAAAGAAAAATGCAGCTAGGCACAGTAGCTCACGCCTGTAATCCCAGCACTTTGGGAGGCCAAGTCAGGTGGATCACTTAAGCTCAGGAATTCGAAACCAGCCTGGGCAACATGGTGAAGCCCCATCTCCACCAAAAATACCAAAAATTACATGGTATGATTATTACACATTGCATGCCTGTTTCAAAACAAAAATACCGGATGTGGTGGCACATGCCTGTAGTTCCAGCTACTCAGAAGGCTGAGGTGGGAGGATTGCTTGAGCTTGGGAGGCAGAGGCTGCAGTGAGCCGTGATTGTGCCACCGCACTCCAGCCTGGGTAAAGGGGTAAGACCCCATCTCAATAAAAAAATTATACAAATAATAAACAAGAAAAAGGCAAGGGCAGAGTGGATCTCAGTATTTGGGGCCTAGAGCAGATACAACTTGGGGAGTTCTCTATAAGAAAAACAATACAAAACTACCAAAACAAAATTAGGTATGAATTTATTCAGAATAGGAACAGAAATCACAACAAATAACTGGAGTTTTGGAGATTCAGAAACCTTTCTCCTAAGATCTCTTGGGACAATTCACCAGGGATGCTTCTCGGCTGCAACCTAGCTTCTCCTTTCTACCTAGGACACGCTACAACTTCAATATTCTTGATACCTGTGTACCAAAAGTCCTGAAGCTTCACTGTCATTACTTCCATATAATCTTCCTCTAGACAAGGAATCGGAGGGCAGAGTTAATGTAATCAATCTGTTGAAAACCTCAAACATTTTTTGGAGTTCTTTATTTAATTTTTTTTTAGTTTTTAATTTTTTGTGGGTACATAGTACGTATAGATATTTATGGGGATACATGTGATGTTTTGAAACAGGTATGCAATGTGTAATAATCATACCATGTAAAATGGGATATCCATTCCCTCAAGCATTTATCCTTTGTACAAATAATTCAGTTATACTTAGTTATTTTAAAATAAACAATTAAATTATTTTTACTATAGTCACCTTGTTGTGCTATCAAATACTATGCTCTATTCATTATTTCTTTTTTTTTTTTTTTTTGGTACTCATTAATCATCTCCACCTCCCCTCTACCAACCCCTACTACCCTTCCCAGCCTCTAGTAACCATCCTTCTACTCTCTATCCCTATGTGCTTCTTTTGGTTTTTACATCTCACAAATAAGTGAGAACATGTAACATTTGTCTTTCTGTGCTTGGCTTATTTTCACTTAACATAATGACCTCCAGTTTCATCCATGTTGTTGCAAATGGCAGGATCTAATTCTTTTTTATGGTTGCATAGTACTCCATTGGGTATATGTACCACATTTTCTTTATCCATTCATCTGTCGATGGACACTTAGGTTGCTTCCAAATCTTGGCTATTGTGAACTGTGCTGCAACAAACATGGGAGTGTAGATAGCTCTTTGATACTCTGATTTCCCTTTTGGGGGGTTATATACCCAGCAGTATGATTGCTGGATCATATGGTAGCTCTATTTTTAGTTTTTTGAAGAACCTCTAAACTGTTCTCCACAGTGGTTGTACTAATTTGCATTCCCACCAACAGTGTCCAAAGGGTTTGCTTTTCTCTATATCCTCTCCATAGGTTATTGCCTTTTGGATATAAGCCATTTTAAATAGGGTGAGATTATATCTCATTGTAAGTTTGATTTGCATTTCTTTTATGATCAATGATGTTGAACACCTTTTCATATGCCTGTTTGCCATTTGTATGTCTTCTTTTGAGAAATATCAGTTCAAATCTTTTTCCTATTTTATAATTGGATTATTAGATTTTTTCCTATAGAGTTGTTTGAATACCTTATATATACTAACTATTAATCACTTGTCAGGTGGATAGTTTGCAGATATTTTCTCCCATTCTGTGGGTTGTGTCTTCACTTGCTGATTGTTTCTTTTGCTGTGCAGAAGCTTTTTAACTTGACATAATCTCATTTGTCCATTTTTGCTTTGGTAGCCTATGCTTGTGGGGTATTACTCAAGAAATCTTTGCCCAGTCCAATGTCCTGGAGAGTTTCTCCAATTTTTTCTTGTAGTAGTTACATAGTTTGAAGCCTTAGATTTAAGTCTTTAATCCATTTTTATTTCATTTTTGTATATGGCAAGAGATAGGGACCTAGTTTCATTCTTCTGCATATGGCACCCAGTTCTCCCAGCACCATTGATTGAAGAGACTGCCCATTCTCCAATGTATGTTCTTGGCACCTTTGTGGAAAGTGAGTTCACTGTAGGTGCATGGATTTGTTTCTGGGTCTCAGATTTTAAGGTACTATGAATCATACTTTATTTTTTAAATTTATAGTGAGTGTATTCATTTCCTATCGGTGCTTTCACATATTACCACGAACTTAGTGACTCGAAACAACACAAATTTATTATCTTACAGTTCTAGCAGTCAGAGGTCCGAAATTAGCCTTACTGGGCTGAAGTCAAATTGTCAGCAGAAAAAAGAAGGAACAAGGAAGAAGAGCGTAGAGGAGGAGAG